GATCAACAGGGGGTCCTTGGAACCCTCCAAAAGATGTCGCCACTCCTTGAGGGCAAGAATAATGGCCAACAGTTCTCTATTGCCAATATCATAGTTGCGCTCAGCAGGAGACATCTTTCTGGAGAAGTAGCCACAAGGATGCAATGGTGTTCCCTGGCTTTCTCTCTGAGAGAGAACAGCCCCTACCCCTGTCTCGGATGCATCAACCTCCAATATAAAAGGTTTACTAGTGTCGGGATGTTTTAGTATGTCCGCAGAGGCAAATCTTTGTTTAAGAGTCTCAAAAGCATTCACAGCCTCTTTGGACCATACCGTGCTACCTTTGTGAGTCATATTTGTGATTGGGGCTATTACAGAAGAAAATCCCTTGATGAATCTTCTGTAATAGTTGGCAAAACCAATAAACCTTTGAATGGCTTTTAAACCAGAGGGTAATGGCCAGTGTAGTACAGCCTCTAGTTTTTTAGGATCCATTTGAAATCCCGATGCAGAGATGTTGTAACCCAAAAAGTGGACTTCAGGCTGGTCAAATATGCACTTTTCTAATTTACAATAAAGTTTATTTTTCAACAACGTCTGCAGAACCTGTTTCACATGGGAGTGGTGAGTTTGAAGATCAGGGGAATACACCAAAATATCGTCCAAATAAACCAAGACAAATGAGTAAATGAATTCCCTGAGTACATCATTTATAAAGTCTTGGAATACGGCCGGGGCGTTGCATAACCCAAATGGCATTACCAGATATTCATAGTGTCCACTAGGGGTATTAAATGCCGTCTTCCACTCATGATTCTCTTTAATTCTAACCAAATTGTAAGTGCTCCTAAGGTCAAGCTTAGTAAATACTTTAGCTCCCTGAAGTCTATCAAACAATTCGGAAATGAGTGGGATAGGGTATGCATTTTTTACAGTGATTTTATTAAGTGCCCTGTAGTCTATGCAAGGGCGTAACTCACCACCCTTTTTCTCAACAAAAAAGAATCCTGCACCAGCTGGTGAGGATGACTTTCTTATGTGCCCTTTGCTCAAGGATTCTTTGATGTATTCCTCCATTATTTTACTCTCCTGGGGAGATAAGGCATAAACTGCCCCCTTAGGTGGCATAGTGCCTGGAAACAGGTTAATGGCACAGTCATATGCTCTGTGGGGAGGCAATACATCGGATTGAGCCTTGTTAAACACCTCCTGAAGTTCTCGGTATTGTATGGGAACTCCAGGAGTTTGGGGAGTGGTAGTGGGAAGGTCAATAGTATCCAATCTCTTTAGTACTGGTTTTATACATCTCCCCATACACTCTTTACCCCATTCTAATATCTCCCCATTAGCCCAGTCAATATAGGGATTGTGCTTACTCAGCCACGGAAACCCTAATATGATAGGACATGATGGAGAAGTAATAACCTGAAACGTCATCTCCTCCCTATGGGAGGCCCCAATGGAGATCGTAATAGGGACAGTTTCTTGGGTTATAAGCGGTTGTGTGAGTGGTCTACCATCAATAGCCTCTACAGCTAGCGGCGTAGGTCTCTCCCTGACCGGTATCTCATTACCCCTAATAAACTGGACATCGATAAAATTTCCAGCAGCACCTGAGTCCATTAGGGCACTGCAAGAAAACTTCTTGTTATCAAGGGAAATAGATACCTCAAGGAGGAATCTACTTTTGTTTTTGTTAGAGGACAACTCCATCACACCTAAGATCTGTCCCTTTAAGGTTCTTAGGTGCGGAAGTTTTCCGGACGCACTGGACAATTAGTTATCATATGTCCCTTTCTACCGCAATATAGGCATAACCCCTCCCTTCTCCTATACTGTTTTTCGGCCTCTGACAGTCTAGTGACCCCCAACTGCATAGGTTCAGGTTCGGACTGTACAGGGAGGTTAGACAAAACAGGTTTAGAGAATTGAGGTGCTAGGGACATAGCCGTACGTCTGGTCTTGCTTCTGGTGACTTCTCTGAGTCTTAACCTATTATCAATATGCATGACAAACGTAATAAATTTGTTAAGACTCTTAGGTAATTCTTTAGTGGCTATCTCATCTAGTGTAGTCTCTGAGAGACCCTTTTTGAATGCTGAGATTAACCCATTGTTAGTCCAGTCTACCTCGGAAGCTAAGGTACGGAATTCAATAGCATAATCCGAGATAGACCGGTTACCTTGTCTGATGTGCATTAGGGCAGTGGAGGCGTCATCCTCTCTACCCAATGGCTCAAACGTGAGCTTGAATTCGGCAAGGAATTCCTGGTAATTATGAGCTATGCTCCGATTACTCTCCCACAACGGATTAGCCCAGGCAAGGGCCTTGCCCTTTAATTGATTCATTAGATAACCAATTCTTGCTCTGTCCGTGGGGAATGACCCTGGTGAGGCCTCAAAATGGTACTCCACCTGATTAAGAAAACCCCTGCATTCCTGGATATTGCCATCAAACTGTAGGGATGGTGATAAGGAGATGCTAGGAGTCCTATTAACAGTGGGTGGAGGTACACAGGGTAGAGGTGCTATAGGAGGAGACGCTGCAGGCTGCAGATGCGCCGTTCTAGCGAGAAGCGTACTTAAAGCCTGAGTGAATTGATCCATGCGGTGATCATTCTCCTCTAATTTCCTCTGCTGCACAGTTCTACAGGATCTATGGCCATGTCGTAATGTCAGGATTACTGTTTGATCCAGCACGTAGAACTGTACAGCACGGATGACAAATAAGTAACGTATTACCGGTCCTTAGAATGGCCGGATTTAACGTACAAAGAATAGTCAAAAATACTAGCCGAGGTCAGGGAACACAGAAAGGGACACAGCGATGAGGAAAGCCAGGAGTCAGGATACCAGAATATAGAGAAGTCAATAAACAAAGCCAAAGTCAAAAACCAGGTAGAAAACTATAAACAGGAACGCGCTCTCAGACAACCACAAGGGAAACCACGACAGGGCACTGAGCAGGCTGAGAACTGGGCCTAAATACCCCTCCTTTAGTTCTGATAGGCTGTAACCGGCCTTTGACCCCAAAGTCAGTTACCAGGTTTCATTTGCATAATTGCTGCTCAGCATTAACCCTTCTGTGGATTAGGTTGCTGCTCGGCACAACTTTTCCTGTGTGGACAGTAAATGTCATTAACCACTTTTCTATAAGCGGATGAATACGTGACACCTATGCCTGCCCACCTCTGACCAGTGGAGGAGCAAAGTGTGCTCCATTTCCTGTGGTCAGAGAAATTTTCCCACAATTCTTACCTTTCCTCCATGATCTCGTGATGCTTCCTGTTAGTATTCACGGACGTCCTGTCATTTAGACAGAACGCCGGCGAAACTACCGAATTTCATCCTAACAGAATCAGAACAGTTTGTTCATTCATGTTAGGATGGAATTCAGGACTTTGTTCCATCTTGAAGCCACATAGTAGATATCTCCCCAATTCCCACGGTATCAGGGAGCTATCTACCTAAAGGCTGAAAGACCTAAATTGGTCTTTCAGCCAAATTGACTAATTCTAAGTAAAGATTACTTAGTATTAGTAAATTTTGCCCCTACTCGCAGTATAGCATGTCTAGTAAACATTGAGCAGCCTGAGACTGCTCACTGTTTAAAAAAAAAAAAAAAAATTGAAAAAATAAAAATAGGGTCCCCCCTCGCGAGTGGGGGCTTTTAAACTATTGCCCCCCCCCTGCCCACACCCCTGAGCAGCGGGTGGAGGCCCTAAATACTAATAAGGGGGGACCTAATGTCTTCCCCCCACCCCTGAGCCGTGGGTGGGAGCCCTAAATACTAATAAGGGGGGACCTAATGTCCTCCCCCCTGGCCCCCACCCCTGAGCGGCGTGTGGGGGCCCTAAATACTAATAAGGGGGGGACGTAAGATCCTCCCCCTGGCCCCCACCCCTGAGCGGCAGTTGGGGGCCCTAAATACCAATAGGGGGGACCTAATGTCTTCCCCCCCAGCCCCAACCCCTGAGCGGCAGGTGGGGGCCCTAAAAAAATAAAAATAAAAACAAATGTTCCACCCCCAGGTGACTAGGGGTCACCCCCTCCCCCCCAAAAAAATTATCCCCCTACCTACCCTCCTCACCCTAAAAATAATGAGGGGGGGGACCTTTAACTAAATACCTGTAAAAAAAAAAAAAAATAACTTACCATTCGATATTTTCTTTCTTCTAAAATCTTCTTTTTCAGCCCCAAAAAAGGTTAAATAAAAAACCATAATAACTGACACAATTAAAAAAAAACGCAAAAAAACAATAATCCATCTTCACCCAGCGAGGGCTCAGCGCAGACTGAGCTCTGCAGGGCGGGGTAAGGCTTATAAAGCCTTACCCCGCCCTGCAATTAGGCTCAGAGCACTCTGATTGATTGGTGGATTTCAAACCAACCAGAGTGCTCTGTGTCATTTTACACAGCGTGGGAAAGTTCTTTGGAATTGGTGGATTGGTGGATTAAGTAACCAGAGAGTTATGAGTCAAATTACACAGCGTGGGAAAATTCCAAAGAACTTTCCCACGCTGTGTAAAATGACACAGAGCATTTCAAACCAACCAGAGTGCTGTGACAGGTAAATGTAGAGACTTACCTTTCAGTCTCTTCATTTACCTGTCAGAGCACTCTGATTGGATGGCTTAAACCCACCACTCAAAGTGCTCTGAGCCTAATTGCAGGGCGGGCAAGGCTTGATAAGCCTTCCCCCGCCCTGCAGAGCTCAGTCTGCGCGGAGCCCTCGCCGGGTAAAGATGGATTTTTTTTTTTGTGCTCGTTTTTTTTCTTTGTTTTTTTAATTGCATTGGTTATTATGTTTTTTTATTTGGCCTTTTTGGGGCTGGAAAAAGAAGATTTTAGAAGAAAGAAAACATCGAATGGCACTTTTTTTTTTTTTTTACAGGTACTTAGTCAAAGGTCCCCCCCTCATTATTTTTAGGGTGAGGGAGGTTGGTAGGGGGTTAATTTTATTTTTTTTGGGGGGAGGGGGTGACTAGGGGTTTGGGGACCCCTAGGGGCGAGGACAATAGGTCTCCCCCTATTGGTATTTAGAGCCCCCACCCGCCGCTCAAGGGTGGGGGCCAGGGGGGAGGACATTAGGTCCCCCCTTATTCCAATTTAGGGCCCCCACCCGCCGCTGCGGGGTGGGGGCCAGAGGGGAGGACATTAGGTCGTTCCCCTTATTAGTATTTAGGGCCCCCTCCCGCCGCAAAGGGGTGGGGGCCAGGGAGGAGGACATTAGGTCCCCCCTTATTCTGATTTAAGGCCCCCACCCGCTGCTCAGGGGTGGGGGCCCGGGGGAAGGACAATAGGTCCCCCCAATTATTTTACATTAGGGCCTCCACCCTCCGCTCAGGGATGGGGATTTTTTAACGGTGAGCAGCCACAGGCTGCTCACTGTTTAATAGACATGCCCCTACTCGCAGTATAGCGAGTAGGGGCATAATTTACTAATACCAAGTAATCTTTACTTAGTATTAGTAAATTTGGCTGAAAGACCAATTTAGGTCTTTCAGCCTTTTAGTAGATAGCTCCCTAATACCGTGGGAATTATGGAGTTATCTACTTATTCATTCCTGTCATTACATTGACAGGCTAAGTAACTTACATTTTATATGAATGTATGTTACTTGATTATTGTAAGTGTTGCAAATGCTAACAGCTGAATCCTGGCTATGTTTGTATACTTTTTATTTAAAATTGTATACAATGTGTGATCCTTGTTTGCAGGTCCTCTAGGGTAAACAATAGGCACAGTCCTTTGCTTTGCATATAATCCAGTCACTTTATTGTTAAACTCCACACAGGATACAGCAGTAAATGAAAAACATAAATGTAACAGAAAACCTTATAAACAAAAACCTAGCTCGTCTGAGCACTAACTGACATTAGGTTCCCTATCTCTCAGGGTTAAACTAAACAAAACAATGTGGTTTCACCAACCTAGAGTCTTTGTCCACTCTCAGCACTCCAGTATTTAGCCAGCCTGCTGCTTCCAACCTTTCAGAGAGAAACAAACATTCTCCCTTACCTGCTAGCAGGGAGGGATTTATTCCCACTGCTGCAGCCGATTACCTACAGCTGAGCAGTAGGTTGGAGACAGTCCAAAACCCTGGGCTGGATCTAAGTCTTCCAAGAAAACCGCTAAACTGCGGAGTGGAGCACTGGCCCACCCTGCTCTCCAAATGCTCCACCCCAGGGGCCCATAACTAAATACTCATTCTGGTTACATACACAGAAACATACACTCCCCCTGGGGTTAAAAATCATATGCCTCTCTGAACAATTCTGTCGAGATATAGACTCCCTCACAGACCACCCCATTCACCTTATCACATATCCCCCTCCCCAGCTCAGACCCATCGGGGCGAGCGGCCTGGGACCATAAACAGTGAACTCGGGAGAGGCCATCCGCATTACCTTGGGCAGTTCCGGCCCTGTGAGCAATAGTAAACTGGTAAGGCTGAAGACTTAGGAACCATCTAGTCACCCTGGCATTCTTTTCTTTGTTATGCCTCATCGATGTTAAAGGAGCATGGTCCGTGATCAGTGTAATACATCTCCCCAGTAAGTAATATCTCAGTTATTCTAAAGCCCATTTTATCGCCAGGCATTCCTTTTCCACTACGGAGTACCTCTGTTCATGGGGATTCATTTTCCGGCTCAGATACATGACAGGATGTTCCTCTCCTTCATGTACCTGGGACAGAACCGCGCCAAGGCCCACATCAGACGCATCGGTCTGTACCACAAATGGTTTAGTGAAATCCGGAGCCACCAAAACAGGGTCAGCACACAAGGCTCCCTTCAAGACTTGAAAGGCATGCTCCGCTTCCGGGGTCCACTTAACCATAATCGGGCCTTTTGCCTTAGTAAGTTCAGTCAATGGGTTGGCAATGGTAGCGTACCCAGGGATGAACCTACGATAGTAGCCGGTTAAGCCTAAAAAAGCCCTGACTTGCTTTTTAGTTACAGGACGTGGCCAACTGGTGATGGCTGCTACTTTGCTCTCTTGTGGTTTAAGGAGCCCCCGCCCGATAGTGTACCCCAGATATTTTGCTTCTTCTAGCCCTAAAGAACACTTAGCAGGGTTAGCTGTCAAACCGGCAGCCCTTATACTATCCACAACTGCCTGAACCTTCATCAAGTGGGTTTCCCAGTCCGCACTGTGAATCACCACATCATCCAGGTAGGCGGCTGCATACTGTCTGTGGGGGTGAAGTATCTTATCCATCATACGCTGAAACGTTGCTGGGGCACCATGCAACCCAAATGGCAGTACTTTATATTGGAACAACCCATCAGGGGTAGAAAACACGGTTTTCTCTTTTGCTTTCTCTGTCAGGGGTACCTGCCAGTATCCCTTGGTGAGGTCCAAGGTGCTCAGATATCTGGCCTTACCTAATCGCTCTATTAGCTCATCCACACGAGGCATCGGGTAGGCATCAAACTTAGAGATATCATTTAGCTTACGGAAATCATTACAGAAACGGATTTCCCCATTTGGTTTGGGCACTAACACAATTGGGTTGTTCCACTCACTTTGTGATACTTCAATCACCCCCAACTCAAGCATCTTTTTAACCTCTGCACTAACCGCTTCACGTCTAGCCTCAGGTATCCTGTAGGGCTTCAGATTGATCTTCTTCCCAGGTTCAGTTAGGATATCATGCTTGATTATATGCGTTTTTCCTGGTATTGGGGAAAACACATCCCTATTTTTAGACACAAACTCCCTGACTTCCTGTTTCTGATGGGGGGCAAGAGTATCAGCGACATGCACCTCCGGACCCTGCTCACGAGTGGCTTGAGTAGGTTTATCTCTGGTCACGATGAGAACCTCTCGTTCTACCCATGGCTTCAATAAATTTATATGATATGTCTGTTCTGGCTTCCGTCTGCCTGGCTGTCTTACTTTGTAGTTCACGTCACTGATCCGCTCAGTGATTTCATATGGCCCTTGCCAGCTGGCTAAGAATTTGCTTTCTACCGTGGGAACAAGAACTAGAACCCTATCACCTGGTTTGAATACCCGTAGCCTTGCATTCCGGTTATAGCTTGGTTGTTGGGCTCTATGGGCCTTTTCCATGTTTTCCTTAACTATGGGAATTACCGCTTCGATCCGCTCTTGCATTTGCGCTACATGCTCTATAAGACTGTGATGGGGGTATGCTCTTGTTCCCATGTTTCCTTGGCAACATCCAGTATGCCTCTTGGATGCCTACCATACATTAACTCGAAAGGTGAGAACCCTGTGGAAGCTTGCGGGACTTCTCTAATAGAAAACATCAGGTAGGGTATGAGATAATCCCAATTTTTTCCATCCTTGTCTATCACCTTCCGCAGCATAGCCTTTAGAGTTTTATTAAACCTCTCCACTAATCCATCAGTTTGCGGATGGTATACCGAGGTTTTCAGCTGCTTGATTCTGAGCAATTTGCACAAATCACGCATGATTTTTGACATAAAAGGGGTTCCCTGATCTGTGAGAATTTCCTTAGGTATACCCATCCTGCTAAACATCATCAGTAACTCCCTTGCAACATTTTTAGAGGTGGCATTCCGTAGAGGTACTGCCTCTGGATACCGTGTTGCATAATCCACAACAACTAAAATGTACTGATGTCCTCTTGCGGACCTAGGCAACGGCCCTATCAGGTCCATTGCTATTCTTTCGAATGGAACCTCTATGATGGGAAGGGGTACCAATGGACTACGGAAGCCCTTATGCGGAGCTTTCAGTTGGCATTCTGGGCAGGATTTACAAAACCTCTCTATTGCCGAAAATACCCCTGGCCAATAGAATCGGGTCAGAATTCGTTCCCTCGTTTTTTCAAAACCAAGGTGCCCACCTAACACATGGCTATGGGCTAGTTTTAAAACAGTGTTTCGGTGAGATTGGGGAACTAACAACTGTTCTGCCTCCTCTTCCCCCTTTTTCTCTACTCGATACAGCAGATTATTTTTCACCATGAAATAAGGAAAGCTCAAGGGCTTGTCAGGGTCCGCCCTTGTACCCTCCACTATTTGCACACTCTCTCTTGCAGCTGTCAAGGACTTATCTTCCCATTGGGCTGCTCAGAAGTTACCAGGGGGGACTCTGAGATCCTGAAACTCCACTTCTTCTATAGGGTCTTCAGTATGGGGAGGTTCTACCTCATTACCCAGGCACACCAAGGGTGTCTCTTGCTCGTCACATTCTAAATCGGAGAAAGGAAAAATATCATCTATACACTCTACCCCGGGTAGCTCCTCAGAGCGCATTTTTGGATGAGCAGAGCACTTTTCCCATAGGCGGCAGAAATGGGGAAAGTCCCTCCCTAATACCACATCATACGGTAATAGGGGCACTACCCCTACAAAGCATTTAACCTCCCCTACCTTGGTGCCAAACTCAACCTCTGCTGTGGGGTATGTGTGGGTGTCACCATGTATACACACAATATCAATCACTTGTTTGGTGTCTAATTTCCCAGGCAGGAGCAGAAAACTTTTTATCAAGGTAACCTCACTCCCTGAATCAATTAGAGCTTGTACATTCTTTCCTTCCACCCTCACCATTATTAAATGCGTTGCATTAATAGCACTAGTCACCACACACATCTTTGAGCAAGTCAATACAGTCCTATGCAGAGCCCTTGTCCCTACATCACACTGCATGGGCTCTTCATTCTCTGGACAGCTGCGTGCAAAATGTCCAGGCTCATGGCATTTAAAGCACCGGAGTTGTCCCTCAGCATGGTCTTGTAGCCGTAATGGAGCTGGTGGGGACCTTCTGCCACCCCGGTCATATGGTTCAAGGTTCGGTACAAAGTTTTGTCTTTTGTTTCCCACTTTCCCGCTTATCCGGTTGTTAGCCGGTCGGGACTTCTGATGAGGATCAATACTGCATGGCTCCTTGGCAACCAAATACCTCTCAATCAGGCACATCATTGCTTCTGGATCCTGAGGGTCCCCTTGGCAGACCCATTGTCGCAGTCCTGTTGGCAGGTGTCTGAGAAAACGGTCCATCACAACCATTTCCACTATCTTGGTAGCAGGGTTGCGCTCTGGCTCCAGCCACTTCTGAGCGAGCCTGAGCAATCCATACATCTGGGCTCTGGTAGGTTTACTCACATCGTATGCCAATTATGAAATCTGTGGGCTCGAATGGCTGGTGTTACGCCAA